TTACTCTTCCCTCTTCCCGTTAATTATTAATGTTTCTGTTCTGAATTCTTCCACACTCTGTAAACCCTTGTGTTTTAGTGGCTTTACTGCTTTGCATGGGGTGATATCGATTTTTAAAAAATAGCCAAAAATGTGTAAACACTCTGAAAATTGTGATAACCCCCCCGAAAACCAAATAATATAAGGGCAAAAACAACAAAGACAAAAAATATGTATTACTTAAAAGTAATGCATGATTAGCAATGAAATTTTTACCGAATAAAGATTAGGGTGTAATGCATAAATATTATACAAAGTTACAAAAATTTCCTTTGTTCTATTTAATCTTTATTTTAAAAAAAAACTCTTATGTAAATTTTTGTAACTTTGTATAATATTTATGCATTACACTCTAATATTTATTCGGTAAAAATTTCATTGCTAATCATGCATTACTTTTTAAGTAATACACATATTTATGTCTTTGTTGTTTCCGTTCCTTATATTATGGCCGCTACTATATATTTTGTAAAAAGATAATATATGTCTATATCGAAAGTTTGTTTGATAACTTTTTTCTGTTTGAACTTCTCTTAATGTTATTAAATAATGGATACTTCTTTGTTTGGAGTGCGAAAGAATTTTGAACAGGTGCATGCATTCATTTCGTTGATTTGTTTCTTTTTTTGTTTTTCTAGTTCTTGTCTTTTGTAATTGATTGTGATCACCTCTCAGATTACAATCTTCAACAATGAAGAATGACAATTTCACTCTTGTTCAATGATAAAGACTCAGCAAATATGATTTATCGACAAAAACGTATTTTCCGACTAATCAAAATACATCGATGAAAACCCAGCATTTGAAATCTTTCACTGGCGCTTATTCAAACATTTACAAATACATGTAACAAGGTGAAATCAATACTTTTATCAAGATGCCAAAAAAGCTACTCACAACATTATACTTAGATATGCATTGTACATAGAGTCCATGTAGCTTTTCTATAAATATTTTTATTGCAATTTGTTCTGATGAACTTTGCTCTTTGGTACCGAGACTTTATGAATTTAAGCGAAATACTAGATTGCCGGCAAGGCCTCATCATTTTACAATTTAAATGGCTAAATATAACCGTAAGTTCTATACTAACATTTTCTTCTCTCGCACTTCTCGTTTGTGGAAATCTCTTCTGGATTCTTGCTCCCCAGTCAACTTTAATCTTCAAAACTTTAAATGCAATGCCAATCATTGTTTTCTGTCTTCTTAATCCCCGTTCTTTTATTGTTCTTTCACCATAATGTTCTTTTTTTTTTGTTTTGTTTTTTTCATATTCTCTCATAATCAGTAACCTCTTGTTTTTTGTGGCGTTATTGTCTTGCTTTGGATGAAATAATTAAAAAAGAAATACCGCCTATGAACATAACGATCATATACTCATTAACTTGTTAAATTGTTTCTTACTAATGTTATAATAATGTGAACGTACCACATTACTGTGTCTATTTCTTGCTGCTTAAACAGTAGTAGTAGTAGTGTAAATTTCATAAATAAAATAAAAACATTTCCTAAATCCCATGATATATATAACCTACTTATCATCTCTTTAATACTAGCACCATCATTCTTAAGGATTGGTCTATCAACTAACTTCGTTTCTGAAACCAGATACTTGAGCTCTCGTTAATATTGTCAGTGATTGATGTTCAATCAACCATAAGGAAAACGAATCTATACTAACAATGAGCAAGCAACATGGCTCTCATACTTAACACGGAACACTTTCAAAGTGAGTATTTAGGCATTTTTACATTTACTCAACTACATATCTATCATTTTGTTCCGCTACCTTCCGCCATCTTTGAGGCAGATTTATGATTCCAACAACTTGACATCTTCCTGTGCGTTGAATTGGTCTAGGTAGTTTTTATAGGCTACCAAAAGCAATTATTCCAATTAAGAGAATTTTATAGGGATCGAATTAAGTGTTAATGTAGTTAGGTAGGTACGGCGGTTGGATTACGATTTCTCAGCTGAGTTATACCAATTTTTGCCAGGTCTGTAACTAGATGTAAGCTCTGGCGTTGTCCTGATGGAAGACAAACCCCTTCTAACTGACCAATTACGGACGCTTTACATTGATTGCTACCTTTAATCGGTCTAGTTAGGAACAGTATTTTTTTTAAGTAAATAAATGATTTTGTGAAAGGAACTTATAATATACAGTGCCCTTCCTTCCTTCTTTCCTCAGATACGCAACAATCCCTTCTTCTGATGGAGATCAGATTTTGAAGTGATTGATGATGGCTTATTTCGTTTTCCAAGGGAACGTTTTTATGTACATTGTTGTAAACATAATATTTTTCATCTCCTTGAATCATTCTTTTTGGTTGACAATATTGAGTGACATACTGGATTCTGCCGATTAGAAGAATCCAGAATGTCACTGAATAGTGGCGGGGGAGGGACAAATTGGGATGGGGAAATATATAAGGCTGGTCCAGTCAAGATAAAAAGCGAAGAAAAAAAAAACTGGGGAGACTGGGAATCTTGGCAAGGATCATCACAAAAGAGAAAACCTGTCCCAGGCCGAAAACGACATCCAATCACATTAAAGGAAACACGCTTAACCAGGTTTGAGGGCCGTCTGGAATCCGCTACATTGTGACTTAAGGAAACTAAAAAAGGAAATTAAGAGTGGTCCGATCCACGGGATCCAGTCTCGCAACTTGCAACGACACAATCACGTGTGAAACAAAATCACGTACTCAAAAGCCACTTATTGAAAAACACCAATAACTTGTTCCAACTTCATAGAAAAAAATGTAATCCGCATTAATTTTTAACAGAAAATTGTGTACTTTCGCCACTCATGCTTTAACTATAGATAAAAAAAAAAACAACGTAGTTTTCACTAAACGAGGAGCTTGCAACGTTGCGCTTGTTGGGAAAGAGGCCACAGAGGGAAGAATGTCACCCCCTGCAAGACAACGTAAACGATTTTTAACTAACTGGAAAGTAAGGACATGGCACTGTAAATGAAGAATAAACCGACGATCCAATCACACACACCCACGCACACACCCACACACACACTCTCTCTCTCTCTCTCTCAATCTGTCTGTCTGTCTCAATCTCTCTCTCTCTCTCAATCTGTCTGTCTGTCTCAATCTCTCTCTCTCTCTCTCTCTCTCTCAATCTGTCTGTCTCTCTCTCTCTCTCTCAATCTGTCTGTCTCTCTCTCAATCTCTCTCTCTCTCTCTGTCTGTCTGTCTCAATCTGTCTGTCTGTCTGTCTGTCTCTCTCTCTTAATCTGTCTGTCTCTCTCAATCTGTCTGTCTCTCTCTCTCAATCTGTCTGTCTGTCTCTCTCTCTGTCTGTCTGTCTGTCTGTCTCTCTCTCTCAATCTGTCTGTCTCTCTCAATCTCTCTCTCTCTCTCAATCTCTCTCTCTCTCTCAATCTGTCTGTCTCTCTCAATCTGTCTGTCTGTCTCTCTCAATCTGTCTGTCTGTCTGTCTCTCTCTCTCTCAATCTGTCTGTCTCTCTCAATCTGTCTCTCTCTCTCTCTCAATCTGTCTGTCTCTCTCTCTCTCTCTCTGTCTCTCTCAATCTGTCTGTCTGTCTGTCTCTCTCTCTCTCTCTCAATCTGTCTGTCTCTCTCAATCTGTCTCTCTCTCTCTCTCTCTCTCTCAATCTGTCTGTCTTTCTCAATCTCTCTCTCTCTCTTTCTGTCTGTCTCTCTCACTCTGTCTGTCTGTCTCTCTCTGTCTGTCTGTCTCTCTCAATCTGTCTGTCTCTCTCGCTCTCTCATATATCTTTTGGATGTGAATGTCTGATGAATTGGGACAGTTTTTACGACCCTAATGAAATAAATCTAACCTCATGAAATTTTAAGAATCCGTGCCTTTTAATAATAATTATTGCTCTGTCTCTGACATAGAGCTCTCCCTGGATTTATATCCTTTTGGAAATATCCATACTGATCACTAATATCATCCTTTATATATATATATATATATATATATATATATATATATATATATATATATATATATATATCACCCTAAGTAAGGCGGATAAAACCATTAAGACGCAAGGGATGGGATTACTGAAAGAGAAACAAACGCTATTAGGAAGAAGGGAACAATAATAGAACATGAAACAGAAGAAAACGATTAACATTCTATTTAAATTTTTGAAGATTGTAGTTGACAGGAAAGCAAGAACCGGGAAGGGAGTTCCACAAGCGAAACGTGCGAGAGAAGAAACTATTAGCATAGAACATACTGTTACATCTAACAATTCCAACAATAATATGATGAGACCTAGCCGCCAATCTTGTACTGCGTTTAAATTCGTAAAGTCGAGGTACCAAATAAGAAAGCTCATCAGAACAATTACCATAAATTCTCAGCTTTTGGGGTTGATTATAGAGATTTGTGCTTGTTAATCCACTGCTATGCATTGAACCTTGTTGTATATAACCCATTTTTCATCGCCTGTTGTTATTTAAGGAACGGTAAGTTAGGATGATACATTCATCATTACAATTGGTTGACCAAAACGGAACTTATGGCTCAACCTAATATTTCATTTACGTGTCCATCTTTGTTTCTTTTTTCATTCTGATCAACCAGCATTAGCAAGCAGGAAACTGTTGTCTACACGGACGGACAGAGATGAGTAACGTTCAGATCAGAATAAAAAGCCAACAAGAACTCTACTCGTTAACATTTATACTACAACGTTTTGAATAATTGATTCGTTTTCTACGGCTTATCAACCCTGCGCAGGTTATTTGAAGCCAGAAAATACTTTTAGATTGTAACAATTTTTTTGAGAAAATAATGATACCATTTTTATTAATTAACCCATAGCTAGGGGGAGAAGAGGTGAATTCATACCTTTCCCGAGAAAATTTGCACGTAAGTGAATATAACGAGCCCAACCGGAATTGAAGCTCAACTCTCCGATTAACAATTCCGAGCTATTATCCATTACGCATATCCAACCTTATGGCATTGCAAATGGTTACCCATCTAGGTACTGACCAGGCTCTAAGTTGCTTAACTTCTGTGATCGTATGGGAACTAGTGTTTCAATGTGATATAATCGTAACGTGAAATAAAAGAATAAAGCTTCTTTCTCTTGTTTCTATTTTCATCATCCATACAATAAACATCCATTTTTGTTTGAAAAAGGAGGGTTTATTATATTTTATTTCGATTTGTCTTTATTCAAAACAATATTTTTACGTGACTTTATACGTTAATCTTCTATTTTTTATCACAATGGTTATTTTATATATGTGCTCAAAAACTATTGAGATATAAAGATTGTCCAAATGTGTTTTCTCATTGCTATCTTTATAATCTCTATCTCAGTAGTTTTTGAACACACATATATAAAAATGTCCATTCATAAAAATGCATTCATCTTTGTCCAAATATATTTTCTCATTTCTAAGAGGAATGCATTTTATTGCTGTTTTGTCCACATTATAGATTTTCCTTAAGTATCGGTAAAACTTAAATTTAATTATTAAAGAATATTTGTTACTTTCAAATTTACAACCTTCCTTAGAAAACTAAACTTGGAAAACGTTATAAAAAAGAATATTTTGCCTAATGAGAACGGTTGTTGTCTGGTATGTGAAATACTGCCCAATCAAGATACATATTTTTAATTTTTTTTTTTTTAAGTTAAATGGGACACATTACATACATTACAAAGAACACGATACTAAACAAATTTATTAACACGTACAATTATGTTAGAGATTTCTTTTTGTGAGTTCCACGCTTTTCTTGATAGTTGATGCTTTCTGGGAGAAATGAGTTGTGAAGCAAATTTGCACAGGGCCTCTTTATTTTTGTTTCTTACCGTGTTATGCCAGAGAAGAAATTAAACCAAAACAATTAGATATGAAGCAGGATAAAGAACAGCTTGAGTAGAGTAAAAAACGGCGTAGTGTTCGCCGCCGGGAGTAGTGTATGTGTCGTCCTGGGCAGCCCTTGGGTTCGCCGCTCCTACCACTACTCCACAACAAAAATATGTATGTATGTATTAACTATTAGCAGGCCAAAAAGATGAAGAGTAGAGAAGCACATACCCTCAAACGAACTTCTGTCAAGGAAAATAACTGAAATTTATATGATAACAACCAAGATGTGTCACCTACACACAGCTGTGCTGCGGCATTAAAAAAACGCACTTTGGGACCATTCAGCTTAAATACATATGCCACTGTTTAAGTTACTCGAAATCGAAAAAGTTCTTAAACTGTGAGTAGTGTCGCAACATTAAAACCACTTTTATTCCAATACAGCTTATACAACAGACCGAAAAGTGTCGCCCTCAAAAAACTGCGCCCCCCCCCCATAAAAGTGTTGCCTGGAGCGGATCGCACCCTCCTCGACTCCTTTTAGCCTCTTTCATTTTGTTAGCAGAACATTCATTTTTAGCCTGTTTCAAAATACTAATGTATTACATGTTTAGGTAGCCATGGCCTTGTATAAGTTTTATTTTTCGACTATGTTACTTACTGGTTATAAAATATTAAGTTTATTTAGAATGACGAGGCGAAGTTACTATGGCAACGACTTGTAACAGAAGGTTTCGTAGTTAACTGCAAGATCCGAGTGATGATTCAAGGAAAGCGTGTCTGATTGAGTAGAAATAAACGTCTATGTTAAAATAATTTAATAATAAGATCGGAAATCATATCTTAAATTCTTTCTTTTTTTTTCATAGACATTATGTTACATATCTTTTTAGCAATGTATCATTGTGTTTGGTTGGTTGTTTTTGCTTAGTGGCATATCGATATTCTATGGGTTATTTAACGCCGAAATCTAAATATTTTGTACGCAATATTATTTTTATTTATTTATTTTGAGATAATAATGGTTTCAGTGATATAATTCTAACTAATTAACCCATAGATGTGGGGGAGAAGATATGGATTCATACTTTTTCTAAGGATATTTGTGCATAAGTGGATATAACGAACCCAACTGGAATTGGAACTCGGCTCTCTGATTAACAATTCCAAGCTATTATCCATTACACACCTACAGCACCTAATAGTCCCAAGCGGTCACCCATCTAGGTACTGAACAGACTTGACGTAGCTTAACTTCGTATGAGAACCGGTGTTTCAACGTGATGTGGCCGTAAGCCTGTAATGTGGTGTTTATAACAAGTTAATAATGTACTTGAATAAATTGCAATCTTAACATGTTCAAGTCTAGAGTTAATAGTTATCCTCCCCTCCTATCCATATAAAGTACCCCCTTAACGTAACCCTTTACATCGAGTGACCCACGGACCCTTTAGAGTGTTAACTTTATTGTAAAAAAAAAAAAAAGTTTATAGTCTTGTATGACAATCTTTTCTTTTTTGCTTTCAAAAATAAGAGTTTGCGAACAGTAAGAGAAAATTTTTTATTCATCTGAATTTTTCTAGTGAAATGTCTACGAATTCATAGTTCTTACTGAAGATTGAGTGATGTGAATTTCCATGACTGCTACTGTTTTTTCTCCGAAAAAAAAAGGTTTTTATATCTTTCAAATTAGTCACGCAAAGTATTCAATTTGAGTTTCTCATTGGTTCAGAATTATAATCTTTGATCATGTGACGGGCTATCTCCGATATTCGAACTCCAATTTTTCATGCATACAAATATTTTGTTAATTTGGGGTTTTATGTCCACAAACCTATTAAGTCATTTTTAAGACTTGACCTATTCTTTACACAGATTCTGTTTCTGCTTAAGTGTGAACATTCTGCTTTTGAACCTGCGCCGATGATAACATGGTACTAAAAAATTATAATTTGTTTATGAATAGGTACGCCACTAAATTAAAATTTTCTTCCTCGGAGAAGAGATCTTTTCTGTTAATTCACCCCAAAATATTAATTCACTCCAAAATAAAAAGAATTGACACCAATATTCAGAAATGTCCTTTAAAATATATTAAAAATTGCATTCATTGTTATTTTTTACCTTACGTCTCCAAAAGAACTCACACAAATACGAGTCTATCATGCTGCGATGAGTCCCGAACATGGACTTATTCTTCATTTTGGCGTTCTACCAGGCACTTTCGATTGTTTGCTGATGTTTTGGGGTCAACGAAATACATACTGTGATTTACAGCCAGATGAATATAATTGGGATCATACTTCAAAGATGTATCGTTTCCAACAATTCGACATAATCGTAGTCTCAGGTAAAATACAGCTTCGGATTGTATCCAATAATGTGGAGGCTGTTTTTTCTTTTGTTTCACGACATAGTTTGGCAGTTGGCGTACTTTTACCAGAAATAAACAAACTTTAATTTAAAATTTATAATTTCTTGTGGTAAATTAATATTTGCGATAGGCAACTTTACATTATTTGGGGATGAATTAACACTAAAAAATCCGAGATAGCACTCCTCTCTTATCACGAACAAAAAAATAAGGGCGCAAACAAACAAGACTTGTAACTATTACATGAAATCTAAAGGAAGAAACATTTATTACAAAATATATTAAAACAATATAACAAAATACAATATTTTACAAGATGGGTTTGCACAAAAATTTTCTTTTGTGGGCCTTAAAAATCACAAGTCATGGTAACATAAGTGATTTTAAAAGATTTTAAAACAGTCTTCAAAAAATGGATACAGCTTTGAGAAAGTGATGCAAACTTTGAAACAAACAGATATTTTAAAAAGAAAATTGCACCCATCTAATCTAAGACGAAAAAAGAAGGAAGGGAGCTTTGGCAATTTCAAATCACCGGTGTCACGGGGACTTTTTATAATTTATGTTTTATAGAACAGTTCTATTAACAGGTTTCTATTCCTTTTTACGTATTCTTCTCAGGTAGCAACCAAAAATAATTTCCCCTTTAGGTACTTATTCTGCCTTTTGAATGAAATTTTTGTGTCAGTTCGTTTTCTATCTTGGTCGAAGCATTCGGTTCTTTGAAAATTTGATCTGCATTGAAATTTGACTACATTCTTCCTTGAAAAGCCGATTACCTTTTTTGCTTTGCAATTTGAATACCTTCTTCATTGAATTTTTAATACTTTTCTATTGAATTTTCAACACCTGCTGATTATCTGCTGGTCCTTCTCTTTATAAAGAAATGAAGGGGCTCCAAATAGATCGTAATTTTCAATTTACGTGGGCGTAAGACCACGCCTTTGATTGGATAATAAATATAAATTGTACACATTTTTTAATATAGAAAATGAATTTGAAACAATCCACCTTGACCGAAACAATTTTGGTAGTTCTTTAAAAGCCAATTCTAAAAATAGAAAATTACACAAATTTAACCATTTTTTCATTAACCGTCTGGTTTTCTTTAAAATACTCTTCTCTGAAAAGTACATGTATAAGACAAACCTAGACGATTATAATATTTATTTACACTTCTTAATTAATCATTATTTTAAATTATTTTGCATATATAACTAAAAAAAAGTTATCTTTTATCCTAAAGTGAATGTGCAATAAACAAATTTAGTTTATAGCAATAACGTTCCAGCTTTATTCTTGAAACACTATCTTGTTGTGGATCTAGGAAAGCTGCGTGAATATTTATAGTTGCGCTGTAAATAAAACATGCAATATCCACAAACATAAATTTAAATAAAATATCAAATGATAACGATATTAAATTACGACAAAAGGGATAAGTTTGGACAACATGTATATTTTTATATGCAGAATATTACAATCTTGCTTTGTAATGATGTGTGCATAAGCCTGATCAGAGTATTTTTAAAGAGAAAAGTTCTTGTTTCTGGTTTGGAAATGTTTCGTATGTTTGTAATGTAGTTTGGAAAATTTCGTACGTACGTGCAAGTGTGAATATGTTTTCATAAGAGTCTGACCGCACATGGTCAAGACGCGAATCATTTAAGGTTAGATTTTCGTAGGCGACAAGAAAGAAAAGAGAAAGAACAAACTCGTGTCTGGTATTTATAATTAATGTAACCACGTGACAGGCTCCTGGAAAAAAGAGCGAGAAAATTTGACTTGGTCACGCGCTGAAAAAAGACTTGTACGTGGGTGGATTGCAACGACCACTTGTGTGCTTATTGATCAATTAAAAGTTGAGGGTTCCTGAAAATATGTGCGAAGCTGGGTAAGCTCTATGATCCACTTTTTGCGCAGATTTGAACAGAAATCCACATTGATAAGAAAGTGGTATCGGGTTGCTAAAATCTTCATTAAGATAATATTTAATTATTTCAAGTGAAGCGGATATTCATTTTAATTTTAAAAGATAAGGGTTTTCAGGCTAATATTTCCTGATTTTAATTGCAGCCTTTCCTTTAGGCCTTCCAGAATACTAAGTATTAGATACAGTACTAAACTTTCCTTAGTCACATTTGTCTTATAAAGCGAATTAATTTTTATATATGTGCTGTTTAATTTACTGATTCCTTCATTATTTTATCAATTTCTTTTATTCTATATTTAACCAATAGATTCTTGATTCGAATACTTTCAGTAATCAACCGTAATAACACTACTTGACCATCAACTGTTACAAGCTTCACTTCAAAGGTATAATTTGTAATTCCATAACCTTCTTTACGCTCCTGACAACCCCCAAACTTTTCAATGACATCACTCGATGTTTGAACTGTCAAATTCTAATATGTACCAGATATTACATCATCTGGTGTGACAGATATTTCCGAATTTTCAAATCCAGAATTTTTATTATATATTTGACAATTATCAAACCTTTCAAAGACATCATCTAATGATTCAGTTGTTTCATCTAAATACTGGTCATCAGATATTACATTATCACCAAGATATTTCAGAATTTTCAAATTTAGAATTATGTATTATAAGAGTATCATGTAGTGAGTACGAAATAGTAATAACTCCCTTTACTCATTCCTTTCAAATTCGGGCGAGCTGAGGGAAAAGACGCAAAGAAATTCGCGAACCTATGTGAAATTTTCTTCGGACCAATGAAAACCTTGCCTTCACAGAGAATTGCCGGCGAGCTGAAAAAAAGTGTAATAAATTCGCGAGCCTATGTGAAATTATCTTTGAACACATGAAACCTTGTCTTCACAGAAATTAGCCGCTGTGTCAAGAAAAAGAAAGAAAAGAAACCTATGCGAAATCCTTTGTTATATAAAATGAAATTAACAAGAGAAGTGTGTTTGGGGCAATGTGAAAAGTTTTATTTCTGTTCACGCGTCCAGCGTTTAAATTTTCGCCAGTGCCAAATTACTCGCCAATCATATTATCGGCCTTAACCAAGCACTTACACTTCAAAGGACTTTATTTCAACAATCCAAGAAAGCTAAGTATTTCAAACTATCTCTCGTAATCTACTTTTAAATGTATGCAACCGTATATCCATCCTGTGAACAACAACAAACTCTCTTACCTTTGTTTTAAACATTTTTGAATATTATTTTGTATCAGATTATTTTGATTTGATGTATCAACATTTCCTCATGATATTCATTAAAACTACAAACTTCAAAAAAATCTGATTTATTTTCCTGAAACAAGTGTTTAAATTCGTAAATAAATTCCTTGTTTTGCTAAAAATTATCCGTGTGTCATTATCATCCTTCATATACCTTCTTTGCGTAGGTAAATCAATTGTTCATTTTAACCCCGAAGTCCCACGCGACTATAACACTTTTCGCATTCGCGTCCATAATTTCAGAAAATTTGAATTTTAGTCAAAACGATAAACTCAAGGCATCAAAACGAAAATTATTCAAAAGTACAATCATCTTTTTTTCCATTTCTTTTACGTCCAAATCTGCAGCAATGTAAATATCTATTTGATCAGTAAGAAGTTCTACAGTATCTAGCCACTTGAGTATAGCCTCTTCCTGTAAAGAGGAAAAGTATTTTTAGACATTTTCTTTGGCCTTCATGGTAGTGTCAATTTTACACTTGCACCGAAAACATTTTTCTTTAATCTATAGATGTCGTCCATTTCGATCGCTTAATTATATTCAAAATATTTTTTTTCAAAAGTAGAGTTTTACTTTAAAATTTTTCAGATTTAGTTTTAAAAGTAACGACCACTCTTAACTTGTTTCAATTGCTATTTTAAAAGTTGATTTATAAAAAAATATAGGTTATCTCCCCTTGGTTGATAACACCTGCTGATAGAAAGTTAGG